CCCGGGGCCAACAAGGGAGCCTGGGGCTGGGGCTGTGGGGCCGGGGGCTGCTTGAACCGACGCCAGGCTTGTTGCACTTTACGGGCGGCGGCGGTCAACCGCAGGAGGAAGGGGGAACGGAAAGGGGCTGGAAGTGGGCCCCCAAAACCCCTCCTTGCAAATAGTCTATCCCTCTCTATCCCCATCAACTCATCCGGAATACGTACCGCTTCGAAGTCCTCGAAAGATGCTCCATATGGCAGACCGAAGGTCTCTCGTAGGAGGCGCTCCTTGACAAAGTAACAGCAGTAGACGAGGCATTCTCTCTCCCCGAACTGGTGACGGGTCCTTGCCGAAATCACCTCACAGCCAGTCTCACTCTCTACCCACGCACGCATATCTGGATCCAACCCCACACCATAGCTGTCGAAGTACTCAGCCCTCTTGGTATCTAGGTCAATGAGTAAAAACGCATAGTGATTCTTGAGATGGAACCACCCCCCCATGTAGCGTTCCCCCCCCCACTTTCTCTTCCCCTTGCAAAGCTTGTTTGCTAAACTGTCGTGCTCAGGTTCCAGATTGCCCAGGGAGTAGAATGAGGGGATTCTGTCTTGCAAGAGGCGCAGGAACGGGAGTAGAAGATCAAATGACGACAACCAGGCTCCAGGGTCTCGTCTATGTTTTAACCGGAAAGCAGTCAACTCTTGCTCCCAAGACGCCATCCATTGGTCCGCGACGGCAGCGGGACAGAGGGCAGGCTGCCCGGTTAGGCCGAGTTGTGCAGGGGGGGTCTCTAGGGCCGGCTCGACGGGTTGGGCGGGGGGCACCTGGGCGACTTTGTCCTCTCGGGCCTGGTAGAGCTGGGCCAGGGGCGCCTGGCCCAGACCTGCCTCCCGGGCCGGCTGGACGGGGGGGGCGGAGGGCGCCTGGGCGACTTCATCCTCTGGGGCCCGCTGGACGGGTTGGGCTGCGGCCTCAGCCAATTCGTCCTCTGGGGGGCGCTGGACGGGTTGGGCTGCGGCCTCAGCCAATTCGTCCTCTGGGGGGCGCTGGACGGGTTGGGCTGCGGCCTCAGCCAATTCGTCCTCTGGGGGGCGCTGGACGGGTTGGGCTGCGGCCTCAGCCAATTCGTCATCTGGGGCAGGCTGGGCGGGGTGCTCAGGGGACACCTGGACAGCGTGCTCAGCTTCTCGAACTGGTATTACAATCGCCCCCTGCTCAATTGTTTGGGGAGAGCACGGACAGTCTTGAGTCCGATTGCGCTTTCCTGCAAAAACGATGTAGAAAGACAATCTCAGACCTTGCATCGAGAAAAAGCATGCAGCAAGTACAATCTGTTGCGATTTGGGACGAATTGAAAGGCTCAGCGAGTAACTTACTAGGTGGCTGTCGTGAGACTTTAAACAGCCCCCCCGCTTTGGACGTGAAAACTCGTGCAAAGTCTTGGACAATATAGGGGCCTGGGCCCATGAATGTGGCAAGGGCCGGACCTGCGTCGGGGGCGGATGCGCCTGGGAATGTAGTTACTGTAGAGGGGCCAGGGGCATGAGCTGGGCCGGAGGAAGGACCAGCTGGGGCAGGGCCTGAAGCGGGGGCAGGGGCTGGGATATCAGCGAGGGCAGTGGTGGGGGCTGGGCCTGGAGGGGAGGCTGGGGCTGGAACCGGATTGAGGTCTGGGGTGGGAGCTGGTCCAGGGGCTGGGGTTCCTGGGATCCTAGATTCCTGGGACTTCAGAGCCGAGTCTGCTGAGGGGCCTTGGTCTGGGGCCCCGGGGCCTGGGACTACAGCTGGACCTGGGAGACGGTAAGTTGTCATTCAGTCGCGAAGTTCTGCAAGGTCCCAGCGAATTTTCAGCGCATTCATATCATTGACATGTGCAGATGAATATGCATCGTACATACTCCCAAAGAAGAGATTCAGCTTACCTCCCAAACCATGGGGCCCCTGTCTACATATCTCAGAAACAGCCCGCTGTTTCCCCTCTGCTTCACAATGTGCTACTCGTGCCTTCTCCACTGCCACCCGTAGTGTCTCCTCTGCTGCCTGTAAGTCCTCCCTTGCACACTGTGCCTTCTCCGCTGCTGCCCGTAGTGTTTCCTCTGCTGCCTCTAGTGCCTCCCTTGCACACCACAGTGCCGCCTCTGCTGCATGTGCCTCTTCTTGCACCCCATTTGCAATATCTTGTTTGATGGCCGCCTGTCTCTTTGCATCTGTTAGTTTGTCTATGAAACACAGTTCTGCGTCTCGTCTCTTCAACTGCTCAGTCAACTGGAGGACTGCATCCTCTCCTTCTTGCCTATATTTGCTCAGATCTTCAAGTGGCGTGGTTTCGTCCAATCTCTGTCTCTTACTTGACCCCCCTTGACATTCTGCCTTCCGTTTACTTGTCACACATGTATACAACCTCGTATACTCCGTCTCTAGAGCTTGGAAGTATTGCTGGTAGCGCCTACCAACTTCACCTTTTGCCTGAATGGCCAACATCTCAAAGCGGGACCGGGACAAAGAGTATTTATCAGGGTTTGGGCCGCTTCCAATTTTAGCATGGCAATAATCCTTGTTCTCCACAAAAGACTCTCTCAATTTCCTTACAGCACTATCCTTACGACTGTATCCAATCCACTTATAGATGGCATCCAGGTCCACCGGGAAAGGGGATGCTTTGTCAAATATCGCTTTAGTGATGTGCTCCCCCCCATCTTCAAGGTTCGGATAGGAGACCATACTTAACTTGCCCAAGCTCTTAGCGCTGTCGCGTTCAACAGTGAAGGACGTCCCGAGAGTGGAAATGTCAAGGATCTTCTGAAGGGACCCTGAAATAGATCGGAATTGCGGTAAGCGGAAGTAGTCCACATTGCGGTGGAAGTAGCTCGCACGTGTGAAGCTAGGTCCACATTGCGGTGGAAGTAGCTCGCGTGTGTGAAGCTAGGTCCACATTGGGGTGGAAGTAGCTCGCACGTGTGAAGCTAGGTCCACATTGCGGTGGAAGTAGCTCGCGTGTGTGAAACTTGGTTCAAAGGCAACGCAAGTGAGGGAATATCCAAGAGACCAAAGACATTAGCGTCACCCATGTTTTTCTTTCTGCTGAGTGCAATGTCAAAGCTCACCCCATTCTTTTAGAAGAGTTAGAATGGCGTCCACCAGTGCAACTACAGCAGTGAAGCAAGAGGAAATCGGTGAAGACGGGTCATTGCAAGTGACCCCATTATCCAGCCAAGCAATCCTGGAGGTTCAAACTGCCCCAGCAAGCTTGGTAAAAGAGGGCGAGTTCCAAAAGAGGGTTGGTGATGTTCTAAGCCAAATCGGACTACAGTTAAATGACAGGCATGTTCTTGTGATGGATCCCAGCATGAAAATCCTAGCAAAGACCGTGAACATCTGGTGTTGCCTTCCAGGGGCAAGTGACGAGGCCAAGCGGAAGTGTGCAATCATGAACTCTGAGAAATCAAAAATGGGAAGTCGGGGGTTTACCTACAAAAGCGCCCTCATCTTTGCATGTAACCTTATTGAGGGTAGGATACACTTTCAGAAAGATGACCCAAGTGTGGAACATGTGGAGCATGCGTTAGGCGCTGTGATTGAGTTCACAAAGGAAAGAAAACAGACAATCCCACTGGAGAGGAGGTCGAGTCAAAAGCGGAGTAGGGCGCAGTGGGAAGCTGAGAAGGTGTTGGAGATAAATGCAGAGAATGACAAGAAAATGGATGCGATTGTTGCACAGACGAGGGCAAATTTGCTCGAGAGCTGTAATGAGCAAGTGTTATGCTGTGTCCAAACCATGATGATGGGCCAGATAAACCTGCGGGAAACAATATGTATCCAGCACGCACTGAGGGTTACTGAGGGCAAATCCCAGGGCCCGGAATTTGAAGTGGCGTACAAGGCAAAGCTCGGCGAGATGAGGAATGACTCCAGTGAGTACCAATACAAGTACAAAGTCTTGACTGGCAGTTCATGAACTTGTTACTTGTGCGGGGCATTTGCAAAGATTGACCCCCGTAGGTGAACTTGTGTGGACCGCTGTGCCATTGCGGGTTCCGTAAGTCTGTAAGCACGTATTGATGCGGGCGGCATTTGCAAAAATTAACACATTGCTTGGACTTGCAGACCCCCTCCTTAAGTGGAAAGCTCAAGCAAGCGCTGTGGCACTGCAGCGACCGGTGCCGGTAAGTCTGTATGCATGCATTGCTCCAATTGATGCCGAAACATCTCTCAAGCAAGATTGCAAAAAATGTACTGGGATACTCAAGCATTCAAGCTCTTACTGATTTGTTGGTTGTATATTTTCACAGGATATGTCCTGACAATAGTGTACGTGCTAGGTCGGAGGCACTCGGACAGCAAAGGCGTTTGGGAAAGGTCCTGGGAGAACAGGTTTCAAAGCAAAATGGAGGTTGATAAGAGGAGTTCCAGTCATGATCAGGCAACCTAAGTAGTGCAGTGTCATAAGTAGCTGGGTCATTTGGATTGAAATTGATTTGATTGCATACACATAAATGTACATACAAATAGTTGCGCCCCTTGCAACATACAATATTCATTGTACATTGTACCCACATGCATCGAGCGTCCCCCCATAAGCCTGACGGTGAATGCAACGACGGTCTTCTTTTTTACCCACTCCTCGAATTTCCGATCGCCTGTGGGAACGATGGAGACAACGACCCCTTGACGTTCGATGAGCTCAGGCCACATACGAACCCTGCCGGTATGGTCTTTGAATTCACACCTGCCGGAGAGACGGTCTGCTGGGACGCCTCGTCGCTTCTCCTCATGATGAATGCTCGCCGGAATGCGAAGAAGGAGGATGTTTACAGGCACCCAATCCACAATTGCAAGGTGGACCGCGAAAGTGTCACACTCGTGCAACTGGTCGCCGCCCGGTCCAGCAAGAGCCTACGCGAGGATCTCGTGGCCATGCTCAACGCGATATTGTCGGGTGCCGTCGTTCCTCTACTTGGGATCTCGGTGGGGGCGTTCACGCTCTTTGTCGACCGGCAGAGCATGTTGCGTGCGTTGTCAGACCTCATGGGATCGTCCATGACCCGGCAAGGCCTCGTCACATTGCATGATTCGCTCGCAACGTCCGCCATGGGCTCTGCGGTGCTGCATGCGGCACTGCATTGGGGTTGGAACGACTACGTCCGTGCCTATCAGTTCCGCAAGGGGGAGGCAGCGCTGGCCACCAAGGAAATCGCCCGCATGTTGGAGGCAACGGCCTTCCAATCGAAATGAAAGACCTTTATGAAATTCAACGGGCCAAGACGTTGATTCTAACCCAAAAGGAGAACCCCGTCCAACTCTCGCGACCTATCTAGCATTGTACCCGTCACTTATTCGCTGCATTGAACCCGATACAGCCACGCGAAATGAACTAAATGATGCCCGATGTGACGCTCATACCGACGGATCGGGCGCTACCAGATCCGTCACGTCCAAATGGCGGACTTAAAGAGATACACGGATGGAGGAAAAAAGCATGATTTTCAAGCCCTTTCTATAGGGGCCCTTGTTTGCTATCTCATCCTTCATTACCTTTTGAAACTTGCGTGTCATCCGAGCAGTTTGAAAAAAGACTATTTTTTCCCTTACCCCCTCGAGAGATTTTGCAAAACTCTAACAGGAGATCCAAAGCAACGGATTTGACCTTTAATGGGTGTGAATCCTGTCCCAAAGCGGGTGACAAGGGCGAGTCCCGGCGACGTAAATGGTAAGGCGGGACACACTACAGGGCCGTCTGGGTCGTGAACGGGACCGAAATGACGGAGGTCTGGATTCGGCGAAAACAGAGGGGGATCCCCCGACCGTTTCCAAAAGTCCGCAAAATCGGCAGGGCTGTGGAATATTTACGCACAAGTTGTAGGAGATATCAAGTAATCATACATGTCGGATCGACTGTGGACCGAAAAGTATTCGCGCTACCAAGTCGGAAACGACGCGCAGGTAGAGCATCTGGAGAATTGGCTACGAGACTTTATGGACCGGAAACCGGGGACTAAGCGGGCCGCTCTCCTCACCGGCCCACCGGGCACCGGAAAGACGACCACCGCCTACAGGGTCTTGGAAGCGGCCGGATGCTGCGTCGTCGAGCACAACAGCTCGAACGTCAGGACGAAGCTGCGCTTTGAGGCCGGGCTTATGGAGACCGTAAACTCGGGCTCCATAATGGGCATCTGCAACGCCATCCTGATAAAGGACGTCGACTTCCTGAACCCGTCCCTCGGAGGCCTGGAGGTGCTCATGCGGCTCATAAATCCCGTCCGGGGGCTGAACAGATCTATCAAGGCTCAGGACAGGGCGGCCGCGCAGCTCGTGTGGAAAATCCCCATCATCTGCACGATCAACGGCGTGCCGAGGGGGCGCCTCATCGACATGGAGTCAGACAGTGAGTCTATCAGGTTCGACAGGTTGACAGCAGTCGACCTCTCGAAGCTTGGTCTCCACATCATGGCGATGGAAGGGGTCATTCCGGACGAGCAGGTGGTGAGACACGCGGTCGAGGTGGCCGGAGGCGACGCCAGGAGCTTCCTCAACATTCTGCAGAGCGGGCTCGGAGGGGCCACCGACAAGGAAGTGTCCCTCATGGACAGCGCCAGGCTGATCCTGGGAGATAGCCCCGCAAGCGTCACGTCCATCGTAGAAAGGACGGAGCACGACGCTCTGTCGATGATTTCAATCTACTTTGAGAACTATCTCTCCTCTGGTGGGCCGGAAGACCTGGCGACGGCGTCCGACCAGCTCTCACAGTCCGATGTGGTGGAGAGCCGTGCCTTTCGGAACCACGACTTCTTCCTCCTGAAATTCGCGGGCACTATCGGGTGCAGCTCGGCCGCGAGACAGAGGCCGAGAGGCGGCAGTCTGATGATAGACATGCAGCAGAGGCTGAGCAGGAGGAACTCCCCCGCGTTCCGGGGCAAAGTGACGGACGACCTTTTCTTCTCCAATCTAAGATCAAAGTGCTCGTACATAGCCATCAAGGGGAGGCAGCTGGCCACCCTGAGGTCGAAAATGCTGAGAAGCGAGGCGGGAGCAGAGATTGTCGAGTTCGTCGCGACTACCTTGACGAAGTTGCTGCGAAACGAAAACGCGTTGGCAGTTGCCAGATTTTTGCGGAATAGTGGGTTAACTGCAGAGATGGCAGAGGACTGCTTGAGGATCTCGAGCTTCAAAGTGGTCCGGGCCCGCGACCGGAGTCTTCTGAAAACCTGTGCAGGGACGTGAGTATACTTACGGACAGAGACCCACTACTATTACTTCCAATCGATCATGACTCTTCTCCAAGCGATGGGATTCGGCGCCAACAGTTTCTGTTTCCCGGCCGCCGTCGAGCGCAAGGACCTAAGAGCGCTTAGGGGCAACTATGTGGTCTCCGCAAAGGCCGATGGTAGCAGATACCTTCTGGCGATAGCGGGCGGGAAAGCGGCCTTCGTCGGCAGGAAGGGCGAGGAGTTGGAGCTGTGTATTGCAGACGCGCCGCCCCAGACCCTGCTCGACGGAGAGCTGGTATCGTCAAAGACGGACCCGGCAGATAAACAGTTCCTAGTCTTTGATGCATTGCATACATGCAAAGGCAGCTTGATCGACCGGAACCTGGGAGACCGGCTCGATGCAGCGCAACGGGACTTTTTCGACAAGGGTCGGGTGGCGGTCATGTCCGTCCACGGCAGAGACATCATGATCCCCATCCTGCTCAAGATTCACGTCCCGGTGTCCAAGGGCTTGGACTTTGTGTCGACTGGCATCCCCCAGCTGCCGTACCGCACCGACGGTCTCATCTTCACACCGACGGACCGGCCGCTGACGTTTGGGACGAGCCGAAACATCTTCAAGCACAAGCAGCTCACCAGAAATACAGTCGACTTTGCTATCACTGGCGCAGACGGAGTGTACTATTTGGGAGTAAATGACCGTGGATCTTTGAAGAATGTAGGGAAATTCCGTCTCGATGCGAATTCGGCCCTGCTGCAAATGATCATAGACGGGAGGATTCAGAGAGGATTTCCGCCCATCTACGAGTGCAGTTTCGTCCCCGAGACGTCAAGCTGGAAGCCCGTCAAGCTGAGGAGAGATAAAGATAGGCCTAATTCTATGATGGTGTACGACGCAACCCTAAAAAACATCAGCGAAAACATTGAGATTCACGAGCTGTTTGCATAAATTGAATGTATGGACTGAGATTTTATCAATGTCCGTGAATGATCCATCCAGCTCAGCTCCCAATCCAGCCCGTTCAGCTCGCTCCGCTCAGCTACCCCGACATATTATGCGTCCCATTTTAAATACCATCTAAGTGTAAGGACAAGCAATGGTGCTAAATCGGACACGGCTCTTTTCGCTCATCGATCGCTGATGACCTGCAGCACGCGATCTCTCTGCATCTATTTCGAAGTAATTGCGCCACCACCGCGTCAATTTGAGATTTATGTTATCCACAGGAACGCGTCGAGCAATACATTTACTGTCACTGATAATGAAGAAAGCACTGTTGCAACTGGCACCAGCACGGTCATCGTAGAACAGATGAGGTCTCTTATTCGTACTCGGCAAGAAGTTGTTGAAATCAGCATACAAGGACCTCCGTCGCATGAAGGCAATGATGACTATGGGATCGTGCCACTGTACCACAACTGGGAAACACTGCATGGGGATTCGGTCCCGCTGGCTCGCAACAGGAAGAATTCAAATGGTGGAAATTCTAATTCTGGAAATTTTGTATTTAATCGGATTTCCCACAGCTAGTGTAGTGGGACACTCTTTCCCCACAAAATCGCAATGCGATTTACCTAAACTCTACAGTTCGCGTAACTCCACCTCTCAGCTCCACGACTGCCCAGGCCTTTGTGGAGATTATCTGGGTACCGTAAGGTCGTTGGGCCACGTTACTTTGGGATTATTGCTTTCCGCCACCGCAATTCCGCGTGTTTGCGTTTATTCTTCTTCAATATCTCTCACTGCTCGGTCAAAGAGGATCGGATTGCCACCCACCTCCCAATAACATTTGTCGAAGGGGTCACCGATTATTGGCCCGCTCAAAGGTCCTCATGTTCTTCGGGTTGATATTGCGGTTGGTGAACGGGTGCTTGTTCACTGTCTTGAGTGAGGCCACAGCGTTTTTGTGGTATAGCCGGGGTATCTTCCTGTTTCTCTGGAGGTCCACCTCGTGCTGAAAGTAAACAAAGTCGTCAAGGTTGTTTCGATCGGGCATGTTTTGCATTGTTCCGGTTCTCAGCCAGTTGCTGCCAACAATTTCAGTATCACCATAAAGTGCGTTTGTGTTTCCAATCTGAATGGGAACCCGTTGCATCCAAACTCTCAGCTCCGTTGGGGGAAAGAGAGGGATCGAGTCGTTGCTCGTGGACCATCCCAGGGTTATTGCTGAAACGTGTTGAGGGTCTATTCTCTCTATCAGCCATCGTGCGACCCGAGCTTCCTTTCCGCCAGCCACATGTACCCTCAACTCGTCCTGAATCACTAACCATCTGACGTGTCTCCCCTCAAACGTCAACCCGCCAGGGTCCACATATTGCAAGGTGAGGTGAGGTGTATGGTCGTCGAATTCGAGCATCATGACCATTGTTGCATCTCTTTGTAGCTTACGTGCGGCTGCTGTGAGTGCCTTCAAGATCAGATTGTCACGTTCTGCCATTCATGCTCTACACCCAGGTTTTTTTGTGAACGCATGTCAGACTCTTGCTGCAGCAACGCGGATCCGGCCCATCGCAGGTGCGGAACGCGGTCGTCAGACGTCATGCATATATTTCCAATCGTATGTGGAAAATGCGTTAGCCACCGTGGGTCCTTGTTTGGTTTTGCGAGTTTCTCAATGCATTTGCGGCGTACGCTCTGGAGGCCTGTATCTGCGCCGCGGTGCGCGGCGGCCAATCCTTTCCTCTCGAACTGCTTTCAGCCTCGCCCGATGGGACGTATTTCCTGAAGGTCTCTGCAAAGTTCATTTCCATATGTCAACAAGGACTCAAACATCGATCACTGATTACAAAATTTTACAAACGTGTATCGAATGTCTTGCGATTGCCTACCTAAAAGAAAGTGTCAACGGTCCAATCCTACAATGGACGAATCTAGGAGAGCTCGTCATACCTCGCGCTCGTGCCGCAACTGATTTGGCCTTGACGCGCATCTCTCTGGATTTGGCACTGGACACCATGTCGGAATCTATCTCGTCCTTGTGCTGCCTCGCGTAAGCCAGCACGTCGTTGGTGATGCACCACCTGAAAAAATTGATTTGGCCGACGGTGGTCACCAATTGATGAACGACCTCGTCGTCGCCGACCGGCTCCGTTAGCTCTGCTTCGTTGGGCTCGTGCAGGCCTCTCGACTCTCCTCGGACCTTTCGCGTCTCAACGCCGTCGCGGACTACAGACGACGGGGCCGAGGGAACGGCTCTGGTGTCTCGAACGGGAAATACAATCCGGTCGCGACGGCAGAACGGGTCGAAGCGGCCCTTGTTGAAGCTCTTGAGCTGGGATCGATAGGAAGTCGAGAGGTTCATCACCCTCCTGACCCCTTTGGAGTCGATCGAATGGAAGACCGTGCGGTGCTTGACCCAAGAAGTAACGAGCCAATCAAAAAGGCGCAAGGAGGGATTCCCATTGCGAGCCTGCAGGACGTCTAAGAAGGCGTTGGCGTTGCTCGGCTCATTGAAGAATACCCGCAAAGATTTGAGGAGAAGGTCATTGTTGGGCTGCATGGTCTTTGGTAGATACAGTCACCTCTTGTTCGTAAGTATTCAAAATTGTGTAACCATGCGCGGACGCACGCCGTGGTTGAGCGTGTTTGGATCTTACGGAGATGGTGCAGGCTACAGTTAGGTACATGCAAACGATGGCACTTCAAAAGCTTCTGATCCCACCGCCACAGGATGCAGCTCCAGAGAATTCTTGGAGACAGCACCACACCAACCTGGCCCATTATGGCAGGCCAGACGGGAGGGTTGGAAGCTGCTAGGCGGTTGGATGGAGGGA